TGTCCAGATTTCTATTGTGGTTTTGCAGCGTTGGCAGAAGCTGCAGCAGGGTCAGCTGGGCCCCAGCGTCGCGCTCGGTGACGGGAAGGATTGTCCTGGATGGTTTTTGCCCATCGGTTGTTGGATTTATTTGTGCACGTAACTTCTTTTTTTGCAGAGTCTGCTTTAATTTTGCCTCGTAATCAGCGTGCGGCGTTCGTTCTGTAAAGAGGGCTTTCCATGAGCCGTCTCCCTTTGTTGGGGTTTTTTTGTGTGTGTCCTTCACTTGGGGTTCCTCACCCACCAGCAACGTGGCTGTGGCCTTGACACCCTCTCTCTAATGTTTCCTACAGGAGACCTGTAAAGTATTGCTAATTCATAAGAAACGGAGCTTTCTATTGCTTCTGTTGAAAGAAGTTTTGCTGGGGGAGATCGGGGGGGGGAGCGCCTGATCTCTCCTCAGACCCCACCTGAGCTCTGCAGCGCGTCTCTTGCTCAGTCGCCGTCGGGCAGGACCGGCGTGAGGCCGCTCAGGGTTAGGAGCCATCTCTTCGAAGCAAAGCCAGCACGAGCGGAGCAATCTTCCACGGAATAAACTGGATTCATTTTAAATTTGTTTTGTACTCTGCAGTTCCTTTTTTGTCTAAAGACATTTCCAGTGAGAACCGTCCCCCAGCACGCCTGGGGGAATGAATCAAAAGCACGGAGGCTCCCGGGTGGGGTGGCAGGGGCTGGAAGAGGCGAGAGGTAAGGTGGCTTTATTTCTTCGTCGTTAGGAATCCACGTGCTCTGTCTTCAGCCGTTTATTTATTTTGCAAAGTACCAGCCCTCCTGTTAACTGCAAGCCTTATTATCCCACAGCCACCACGACTTGGACCTGATTTTAAGGCGTTCTTTTACTTCTCTCTTTTTTTTTTTGTCTCTTTTTTTTTTAAATGATTCCTCTGCCTTTGGAAGAACTTGGGTGGAATTACGGCATTTGGAAATAGCTCTCAATGGAGGCAGAGGCCAGCTGGCCTGAAGAGATCGCAGGGAGGGAGTTAAATGAGAATCACGTTTGCAGAAGGCGCTGAATGTCTTGCCCAGCAGCATTCCTTGCCCAGAGCCTGCCCGCCAAAACCTTTTGATTATTTTTGTTTTTCAAATAGATACCCATGGATAACAACGAGCGAGAAGGCGTAGATCCTAACGGATGCTCACAGCGGCTGTATCTCTCAGTTTAGAATTAACGATACAATTGTACATCTATAAATAAATGTTTATAACGTGAAAGGCTCCGGCTGCGTTGCTGTCCTGCAGACGCTCACCCCAGCCAGCTCTGCTTTTCGGGCTCCCTTCATGCTGCCTTCGTCACATCCACACAGGTAAATTAAATTTGGTGTCTTTGCCGTCCCGGCAACCCCCAGCGGCTGAGAGCTCCAGCGCCGCAGGGGCCTCCCCAGGGTGGAAGTGGGAAGGATGAGGAGAAGATGGATAAGAGGTGGCACCCCCCCCGGGTTAGCCAGGGGTCCCAGCAAGGTGATGGCGACTGCTCAGCCAGAGATCTTGCCCTCAGACTGGTTCCACTGGGGCCCTGTCCAGGGAGGGCAGTGGAAAGGAAGGCTTGGGCCGCCTTTGTTCCGAGCGGAAACGCTGGCTTCCCGATGGCAGCGGCTCAGAAACCATCAGCAGCAGGCCCAAAATCTTTGGGGTCACATTTGTGATCCGCACTCTCAGATGAGTCTCTTTTTCCCCACATGCCCCCCAGGCTTTTCCTGCAGTGCCCAGTGCAGGCTTGACCCCACTGGTGCTGCCCTGGAAGGCTTGGGCCGCCTTTGTTCCGAGCGGAAACGCTGGCTTCCCGATGGCAGCGGCTCAGAAACCATCAGCAGCAGGCCCAAAATCTTTGGGGTCACATTTGTGATCCGCACTCTCAGATGAGTCTCTTTTTCCCCACATGCCCCCCAGGCTTTTCCTGCAGTGCCCAGTGCAGGCTTGACCCCACTGGTGCTGCCCTCCTCAGCCCCAGCGCCACTCACCAAGGGGCAGGACATTTTGAAGTGGGTTTTTTTTTCCCCTTTTCCCATTCTTTCCCCTCTCTCAGAGGCCAGGGGGTCACGGCATTTCCATTTCCCCTTGGTGCCCCGTTTCCAGCAGCGGTGGTGAGTCAGCCTCGCCGCCCTCTCGCAACACCCACACCAGCTGGGAGAGTCCAGCACAAACCAACACCGCCGCCAGACAAAATCCCCCAGTGCCATCGGCACAGACCCTCCTCTGGTTTTTGGAATTCTGCTGTTAGGTGCAGCCACACCGCAGGTTTTGGGGTGGTTTTGGTGCGTTTTTGGGTCATTCCCAGCCCAGAGCTATGAGAGATGCTCTGCATTTCAGTCAGCTGGTCCCTGCTTGCTCACCAAAGCTGCAGGCGATTTGGGGTGCCCATTAGCTCCTTCCCCACTCAGCTCATTAGCCCAAGCTTTTAACTGGGGCAGCAACCAGAGGAAGGGAGGCAGCAGGGACAGGCAAGAGTCCCACGAGCATCCTCCTCTGGCAGGTAGGGAGCGAAGGGGATCCTAGCTTCTCACCACCATCAATTTTGGCAGCAAAACATGAGGGTTTAGCATTACCCTGGTATTTAAGTCTTTCTTTGCCTTATTGCTGCCTATGACCCCAAAAATCTCACTTCCCCACCCCACTGCGATGGCACCCAGAAAGCCCCAGACCAATGCTGGTGCTGCACACAGCCCCATCGCCACCTCCCAGGTCCCAAAATACCCCTCCAGCTCCCTCCGTGCCCTGGAAGAAGCTAAATACAACCTCTTTGGAAGCTCCCCGCACCTTCCAGGGAGCTGCCAAATCCCAGGGACTGTGACATCCCTCCCAGCTCTGTCATGGAAAGGCCACTTTGCTATAAATAGGGGCAAAGCTTCACCTGCCATCGCCCGTGGCTTGGGCTCTGACCATGGGGCGTTTTGGGGGCATGTTGGCCCGCACAGAGGGTTTTGCCGGGCACCTCCCCAGCAAAGAGGCTGTCCTGTCACTCTGCGTGTGCTTTTGTAACTTTTGGTGGGTTTGTGGTGTTTTCTGCGAAGTCCTGGTGATTATTCCTTGTGCTGATAATTTTAAAAGCTGTGCTGCAGAATCCCTTACCCACCCTGGGAAGGGCTGGCAGGGGACGAGCCAGGGCCACGCTGCTGCTGGCAGCACAGCGAGACACGGGGTGATCCCCTCCGCACGCTTAGGAGCTCGATATATAAAAGCACATGTATTTATGGAGCGGGATGTGCAGCGTCAAGAAAAAAAGGTCACAGCACAGCCTGAGCTGCTGCTGTCGCTGCTATGACCGTGCCATAAATCTCCCGCTGTGGCCGGGTAGCAACGTGCCAGTTCAGTCCCGTGTCAGCAGTGCCAAAAACCTGCTCCTCTCAGGATGTTGTCAAAAAAAAATTGGGTATTGAGTTTCTTTTCCAGCCCCCTCTGTGGCTCCTGGGCTCATTTGACGTTAGTTTTGCTGCTGGACAACCCCACAGGGCGCTGTGCTGCCTGACCCTGGCACAGGGATGCCCCTCACGTGGTGGGAGGATGGTTCAGCATGTGACCCTCTGAGAAACACCGTGATCCCCGAAATTTTATGAGGTGAGCGAGGGGAACCTTTGCACCACGTGGTTTTGTAAAGGTTGGTCTGACTGCTCCTAGGTGGTATTTACATGGGTGAGCAACATCAGCTCCCAGCGCTCCAGCTGGGGGTCGTCCTTTTCAGAAACAACTTTTTTTGGTGAAAAATCTTCATCAAAGAGTCACTGTCTGTCCACAGGAGAGGAAAACCAAACCAACAAACCCTGAGCCAGAACAAACTTACATTTGAATGGAAGGGTGTTTTTTTTTTAAGCTGGGTTTATCCCCCACACCTTCCACCAGGCCCTTCATTTGCCAAGCAGCTTAATTACACTTTAGTGAAAGCCTTTTCCCCCACTGGCTCTAATTACAGGCTTGAGTAATTGGGCTCATTTTTGCAGTGTGTTTGGAGCTGCAGAGCACTCGCCCAGGCAGGTGTGACCTCCCCACCTCCCTCCCTCCCAGTCTGAGCCAATTCTTTGTTTTCTGCCCAAAACCCCTCCTAGCTCCCAGGGGAGGAACAGCAGCCCCTTGCTGAGGTGCCAGGGTGCTCCTCCCCAGGGGACAAGCAGACACCTGGCTGGCTTAGGGCCTGACTCAGCATCCCCTGAGTCACAGCCCCGTGGCCTGCAATTAGGCTGGGGCGCAGCGGGATTTCCCCCCCATCATTCCCAAAACCTTCAGCTCCCACCGCAGAGGCTGCAGTGCCAGGGAAAAGCTTCCCAAAGATGCCAGCAGGGATTTCGGACCAGCTGGGAGGGGTTGCATCATCCCTCTCTGGCCCCAAGTGACAACAGGGAGACAGCAGGTTATCAATTAAGACAGCTTTTATTAGAAAAGTAAAAAAACCCCACCCCAACACAATTGCATAGGAAGTCCTGCACTTGAACATCAAGTGTATGAGTGTAAACTGTAACCAATGAAGCGCCCACAGCGTCACGGCAAGGGGTCCTGCCCTCCGTCCCCGCCTCACCTCATGCTACCCCTCTCCCACCATTCTTTCCTCTCATGATCAAAGATGCAACACAATTTTGGACCCCCCCGGCCTTCCTGGGAGCCTGCGCAGAGCTGCCCAGCTGCCAGCAGTGGGGTTCTCTCTTTGATCCAGACCTACAGCCCAGCAGTCACTCACTCCCACACGCACCCTCCCCCAGAAACCCCATTGATTACAATGCTCGTTACAAAAAACAAAAACCATGATTAATCAGTGGACCGTCTGCCCCCAGCAGCCCCGCTGCCACGTCCGGTCACCACAATCATCGACACTGTGAAGCGACCTCGGCTTGGGTCCCAGTCTGCTCCATGTCAGGGACGCCCCAGCACAGGTGGGCACCCTGCAGGGACCTCCGCCTGCCCAAACTACTTCCACCTACAGCCCTAACTACAGCCTAGC